AACACCCTGTAATCTCAGCATTCACCCATCTGAGGCAAGAAATCAGAGGTCAAGGCCAGCCTGAGTTACAGTTTCAAGTCAGCCTGAGATATGTGCTAAGATCCTGTCTCAAATGATTCGCTCATTATAATCAAGGTTACTATCTACAATATATGACTGTCTACAACAACAAAGTTTTACTGGGCAAATAACCAGGTGTGGTGAAATATACCAGTAATCTCAGCACTAAGGAGGCTGAGGCAGGAAGATCAGAAATTTCAAGACAGACCAGGCTACAAAGCAAGAACGGGAGGGGAGGGAAGAATAACAGTGCTACCTTCGTTAAGTATTTAAATATTTCGACTTATAGGAGAGAATCTAATTTCTGAAAGCCATCCTCTGACTTCCACATGAACACATACATGTGTGAACAACACATGTACACACAGTCTTTAAGGTTTTCATTTTAAGTGACACAGACAAGGCCAAGTATGATGGTACAGACCCATCATTCCTTTAACTGAAGAGGCGGAAACAAGAGGATCACCACAAGTTTAAGACCAGTCTGACTGCACAGCAAATTCCAGACCAGCCAAAGTTAAACATTGAGACAGTGAGATGCTGTGTCACAAACAAAAATATGAAAAAAAAAAAAAAATCAAGATATATGGTCAGAACACAAGATCATCTGACCTGGATTCAAATCTCTCATTTATTTCACTTTCAAACTAAACTGTCCCATCCTTCAGTCTTTCTCTTTAATGAATATTTTGGTTTTTTCCTTTTGCTGTGCATCAGGCTCACCAGCAGCTTTACAAACAAAAACCTGTGTAGAAATTTCAGGCCAAAGCTAGAGAAAGTAAAGCACAGCAAATATTTAGATCCACATTTGTAAGACTCTTCGGTTAAAACCACATTTTAACTTGTAACCAAGCAAGTTATCATCCAAACAGTTACTAACAAATAGCAAAACTAAATGGCACCTCCTCTTCACCAACCTCTGTTAGTACAATCAGGGTTAACTTAAAAAGGGGGGGTGGGGGTGGGGATGTTCAAACTGAATGAATGAAAAGTGGTATCCACAAGAAGATAGTGTGAGTAAAGCAGAGCGATTCAGAGTATAGTCTGTGCTGGGGGTAGTTTGTCTAGCCTGAGTGAGTTTAAAGCATACTGATAGAGTACAGGCTTGGCTGAGACTACTACTACTACTACTGAAGTCTAAAAGTTGTCTAGCATGAAAGAGGCCCATCCCCAATCCATATTAAACAGTTCTCTGAAGATACACAAATGGCTCAGTTAGTATGAAAACATTCTATTAGTCATTAGAGAAAGCGTATCAAAACTACTGTTTACAAATAGGACAGCTAAGGGCTAGAGACAGCTGGTGATTAAGACCCCTTGCTGCTGCAAAGGACAGGTTACCAGCATGCACATCAGGCACCTCACAACTGCCTCTAACTCCAGCTCCATGAGGTCTGGTACCTCTGGCCTCTAGTATGCACTTACAAACACATACAGATTAAAAAAAAAAAAAAAGTTAATGGGTGGGGGCTAGAGATTATTTGATTAAGAGTACTGGATGCTCTTCTAGAAGACCTGTGCACTCAGTTCCCAGCACCCACGTGGCAGTTCACAAGTGTCTATAACTCTAGTTCCAGGGGATCCAATACCCTCTTTCTCATCAGGCACAAACACGGTGTACATACAAATATACATGCAAAACTCATACATATAGAAAATAAAATAAAATCTTTCCTTTTAATTCATTTACTATGGTAACTGAAAGATCAGTGAAAACCATGAGCCATATGCTTATTGTGGGGGGGAGGGGAGATCACTTGGATTCTATTTCTAAGTGAGCAACTCTGTTCCAGCCTCAACTTTCCTAAATATTAATTTCCTTACTTACTCCTCTACAATTACACTACTTTCTAAAAGTATACAGCAAAACATATGACACCATAATCTAACTGTAATTATTAAAACACCTCATTTACCTCATTTAGAACATGAGTAAGCCAGCACTCGGGAAGCAGAGCCAGGCGGATCTCTGTGAATTCGAGGCCAGCCTGGTCTACAGATCGAGATCCAGGACAGGAACCAAAACTACACAGAGAAACCCTATCTCAAAAAAAAAAAAAAAAACCAAACAGGATTATCACATAAAAGTATGCAGCAAAACACATGACACCATAATCTAACTGTAATCATTAAAACACCTCATTTAGAACATGCGTAAGAGAAACTGGAAAATAGGGTGGGGGAGAATCAGTCCTACCATTACTAACTAGTGATACTATACAGTTCAATTACCAGAAAGTAAAACATTAAAAAACTGTCAAAATAATCAGATAGAGTGGAGCTGTAGCTCAGTTGGTAGAATGTTTGCTTTAGTTTGCACAAAGCCATAGGTTCAAACAAGTGGGAGTAGAGGGGCATGTCCACAATTTCTACCCTGGAAGAGGCAGAGGCAAGTGATCAGAAGTCTAAGGTCATTTTTGGCTTTGAAGCCACCCTGGACTACATGAGAAGCTGTCTTAGAACCGAAATTCAGGGGCTGAAGAGACGGCTCAGAGATTGAGAGCACTGGTTGCTCTTCCAGAGGACCTCAATCTGGTTTGCAGCACCCATTTTAGAGCAGCTCACAACTGCCTGTAATATGACTCCAATTCCAGGGGGATCTGACACCCTCTTCTGGCCATGACAGGCACTGACACACACTTTACAGAAATGTTTTTGAAGTATATACATCTGGGTTTTTTGTTGGTTTTGTTTTAGGATTTTTGTTTTCATTTTTGTTTTTGTTTTTCAAGACTAGGTTTCTCTGTGTAGTCCTTGCTGTCCTGGAACTCAGCTCTGTGGACAAGGGTGGCCTTGAACTCAAAAGAGATTGCCTGTCTCTGCTGAGATTAAAGGGGTGCACCAAGCCCAGCCAAAGCACATCAGTTGTTGACCAATTGCTGTAGACAAAGTTTACAATAGACTACCAAGGAGTCAAGTGTCCAAAGCTGGTTTCTTAAGTAATTTACCCTGATATCATTGCTTGAAAATACTGGAAATTTCAAAATCACAAGGAAACAAATGTGGTTATTTGCTGTGAATTAAGGTCAGGTGATTTCTGTGGAGTGGTTTTTGTTTGTTTTGTCCCCCCCAGTGCCCAGTACTTTTTTGACTGGTCTGAAACCCATGATGTACACCAGACCCACCTCTGACTCCTGAATGCTGGGATTAAAAAGGGTTCACAACACCAGGACAGACCAAGTTCAATTTCTTATTCACATTAAAAATACATACTTTTATATAAGAAATCTCAAAAGTCAATTAATAGGAATGCATGGAATACAAGCTCTTGGATCCCAAGTGATAGATGAATGTTCTCATCAATTTATTAAAAACAGAAAAGGCCTGGTGTGGTAGCACACAGGTGAATTTCAGCACTGAGATTTAAGTCAGGAGAACCAATGTGTTTTTTTTTTTTAATATTTAAGAACTACTGAAGATCCTCTAACACAGAAAACACATATAATCCAGTCTGTTAGAACATAGTCTGTTAGAACATAGGGAATTGAACTGTAATCCCAACTTCAGAGCAGAAAAATGATAAGCATGAATATCTAAATACCAACAATCATTTAGACTATTGGTTGTTTTTTTTTTCTTTTCTTTTGGTTTTTTGGAACAAGGTTTCTTTGTATAGCCTTGACTGTTCTAGAACTATTTCTGTAGATCAGGCTAGCCACGTACCTCTGCCTCCACCGGAAGGCTAGACTACTGCTTCTTTTGCTTTAAAGGACCTAACAGAACTCAACAGATTAACAAGGGGAGAAAACTGCTTAGAAATAAACAATTTACTAGTTAGCAAATATTTGGAAGAGTATTGAAAAATTACAATCTTCTAGAACAGGTATTAGATGAGATAAATCAAATATAGTCATTTTAATCTATCTACTAATTGTGTGAAAATACACCCAAGCGAATTTTTTTTTCCCCAGAGCTGAGGACTGAACCCAGGGCCTTGTGCTTGCTAGGCAAGCGCTCTATCACTGAGCTAAATCCCCAACCCCCGAATTTTTTTTTAAAAACACTCAGGAATGCCCCAACTCCTTTAATCCCAGCACTTGTGAGGCAGAGGCAGGTGGATCTCTGTTGAGTTCGAGGCCAGCCTGGTCTACACAGTGAGTTCCAGGACACGCTCCAAGCTACACAGAGAAACCCTGTCTCGGAAAACCAAAAATAAAAAAATAAAATAAAAATAATTCAGTTATCACTAAAAATTCTTACATTTGTTAAAAGAATTTCAAGTAGGCCAACTAATATCCACAACTTAAAAAAAACTATCTCTAAACTTAAGCCAGCACATTTCTGGGGGAGGGGAGTGTGTAATCAGTATGATAGTTTAAAGGTTTTGAAGTACACTTGCTCAGTTCCTCTGCTTCTTTCCCAGTAAAGTTTAGGAAACTTAAGAGTGTGAAACACAAAAGTGCTTCAATAAATTGTTTCAAAAACTTAATGTCTGTAATGAGTTAAAATATTAGGAGTATTTGTACTATTTCATAAGATATCGGACTTTAAACCAAACTACCTTACTCTAAGCTAGATCACTAAACTATGTGTAGTAGCGCTGTCTAAACTCATTGAGAAAGTAAGCCAGCAATCAAGACACAAGACATTTAAAATGTAAAACCAACCAGATATGTGAAATGTGTAGGATTTTTTTCTAGGTTTCTACTATTCTGTTATTCATAGTCTAAAGTGAATACTGAACAGATGTTTTTAACCTTAAAAAACACAAAAACTTTAAACTTAAGACTGTACTAAGTTTGAAACACTTGTAAGCCTTAAAATTTTCTCCATTTCAATTTACTACATGGCTAATGACTATTTTCAGACTATCCAGAAACTGAATCAAAAGCAAAATTTTTTCAAGAAACTGAAAGGTTTCCAAGAATAACACTGGATCAATTTGACTCATATTACAGATTACAAATGAATATCTAATTTGCTCACCATAGAGTACTTACAAATTCCAAGAGGACTGCACAGGAAGGTGCTGGTTTTTTCTCTATAAGCTTTATGTTTTCAGTTTGTTTTTTTATTTTGTATCCTCTGAAATATCCAAGTTCTTTGAAGATACTTAACCTATGACTATTTGACATAGAGTTATTTGAAGTCAGCTACCCATATTTGTTTTGAAGTTTTCATACGGCTATATCCAGAATTAGCCAAGTTCCTTGGATTCAAGAGCAAGGTCTTCTTTATTATTCCATGTATTTGTCACTGTTGTACTTATCCACTCCAGATGAAATATCCAATTTATGTGCAAAAAGCAGAAACAAAAAGAAAACTTCACATCTGAAGCTTACTTCTACACATCAGCATATACAGAGACAAATAGCTATCTCGATCCTACCATGCTGGTGTGACACCGCAACATCTTACTCTCCCAAGTAAAGAAAAGGGGAAAGGGAAAAAACTCTGTATTCTTTCAATGTCTTCATTTAGAAAAGCTGTCCCATCGTAATATGAAAAGAGCTGAAGTCAAAAATTACTAAAACTTTCAATAAAGGTAAAAAGAACTGCCACGAAACTTCAGCAATATTTAAACAGTAATTTGAAACTACTCAGTACACAAATCAAACATATCTTACAGTTTTGGCTGAAGAACACCAACAGGAGAGGGGGAAGAGACGAAAATAACATCAGACGAAATACTTTAACCACTTATATAATCCGTTTGAACCAAAATACTGAAGAAATGACTGGGTCTTTTAGCAGCTCGTTGAATTGGCTTACTACTTTCAATTCACTTCAGAGATGATTCTTGTCAATTTTAATAAACTTCTGGGGCAAAACAAAAACAGAACTGTAATTCCAAAATGGCCACTTGAAATATCCGAGGCCTTTTTAAAAAAACCTAGAAGATGATCTTCATATCTGCATAATTCAATCACCTGTAAAAGTTATAAAAAAAAAAAAACTTAAATCACAGTTTTGATTTTTCAAATGAAAATCAACCCCCAATCAACCTCTGGTCGGTCTGTACTGTCCTAAAAAGAGCTGGGGAAAGAGCCTAACCCTCGGTAAAAGTCTACTGAATGAAAAGGACTTCCAAGTCTAGGGGCAGAAAACAGTGGATGATGGAATCACTGAGCAAAGTTCCGATCTGAACTGGGAACTACACTGGAGGTTGTTGTGTGCAGAACTTTACAAGTTTCCGAACAAATACTAAAACTATGGAGTTGGCACACCATCTTACAATTGGTCTCCCCTAATTCCACCCCATGTGCCAAAGGAAAACAAATGGACAGGTGGTGCTGCCACGGAGCGTTAGTAAACCTAACTCCGAGAATGGGAGGCAAAAAAGAGAAGGACGCTCCTTCCAAAATGCAATGTCTGGGAGAACGGAGCAGCTGGCTTGTCCCCCCACCAAGGCTGGCGGGGAAGGGGAGAGAGGAGCGTGGCAAGGAGGTCTCTAAGATCCGCCTGAGGGGCGACTTCCCGGCCTCAGACAGCAGCAGCAGCAGCAGCGGGGATAAAGGTGTGAATCCCCCATTTCCTTGAATTAAGCAAACAGGTTTCGGTCCACACTCAAGGGGTGGGGAGATACGGGGACCCCACTCGCCCACCGCGTTAAGGGACGGTGCTCTCTCTCTCCGGAAAAAGAATAATAATAACAGGTCCCGTCCGGCTCGGAGCCCACACGACTTGGGAGCGCAAGGAGCGCTCGCCTCGCTGAGGCGAGCAACTACCACGGCAACTGCCACGGAGCCGGTCGGCGGCGGCGGCGGGGAAGGGCGAAGCGGAAGGCCACACAGCTCGGCCGCGGCTTCCCCCCCGCCCGCCCCGACCCCCGGAGGGCCGGCTCGCTGGCGGCCCGGGAAGGCGCGTGCCGGGGCCTGAGGCAGCCCGACGCCGCCGCCGCCGCCGCCGCGGGCGCCCCAGCCGCTCCGGGCCTCCGCCGAGCACCCCCCCCCACCACGGCCGCCGAGGCCCCGCCGCCCACCTCTCCGCGCTGCCGCTCCCGCCGCCGCCGCCGCCTCCGCTCCGCCGGGCTGAGTCAACGCCGAGGGCGGGCGCCCCGAGCCCCACGCCGTCCGTCCGTCCGCCCCCGCCCGCCCGCCCGCAGCCTCACGCCTCGCGCCACCAACGCCGCCGCTCCCCGACCCCTCCAGCCCCAACGCCGACACGGGCACCCCCCCCCCGCCCCGCTCCCCTGGTCCCCGGGACTCCGGGACGGGGCCCAGGGGACGGTGTTACCTTCTGCCCCACCAGAGGTGCCCCTGGCCTGGGGGTGCCGCTGCGCTCGATCCCGGGAGGAGGTTTTCGGTACTTTGAATAATCCCCTTTTGCCGCTTTTCCCTCCCCCACCGCCAGTCTCGGTCCCAAAATGGCGCCGGCCCGATCCGCAATGTTCTGGGCCAAGTCTCGCGAGATCGTGGGAAGGTGGCGAGGCGGGGAAGGAAGCGGAGAGGTTGAGAAGTACGCGGAGGGAAGGCGGGGCCGAAGGCGGGGGGGGGGGGAAGAGGAGGAAGAAAAGGGTGTGGAAGAAGCCGTGCAAACAGGACTCACTGGGCGGGGCAGCAGGAGGAAGGGCCTCCACTACAGAACCTTCTGGCCCAAGCAACCGCTCACGGCCCCGGGTCAAAGAAGCTCCGCCCCCTACGTCGGGCGCCTGGGGGGGAGGGGAGAGGAGGGGCGTGGTCAGTCCCTGGGGGCGGGGCTTTGAGGAAGGCCCGGAGGCGGGGCCACGCGCGTTGCGGGGGGGGGGGGGGCGGGGGGGAGGCGGGAGGGGGCGCCAGGGGGAGGGGCCGCGGCGGCTCGGCGCGGTGACGTCAGGAGCAGCTGGAGCCGGGGATTACCCCCTGCTGCTGACGTGAGGACGGTGAACCATCCCGAACGTTCGGTGGAAGGGGGAATTCCCGGCCGTTCCCCGAGGAGCGCCCCTCGCCGGCTCGCCGGCCCTTCCCCGAGCTCGGGACGCTGGGGTGGGGAGGGCACGAGCGAGGGCGGGCCGGGCGAGCGAGCGGGCGGGCGAGCGGGCGGGCGGGCGGCGCTCCTGCGTCTGCCGGGCGGCGGAGCCCAGAACGGCCGCGGCGGGCGCCACTCGCTCGCCCGGCTGCGGCTCGCAGGCCGCGCTCGCACTCAGCGCCGCGTGGGCGGAGCCGGCCCCGCTAGTGCCCGAGTGATTGGACGCCGCGGTCGCGTGCCACGCGGAGCGTGCCGGACGTGGACACGCGGAAACCGGGTTAAGGGACCCGGGGCTTGGCCCGAGCCCCGGCTTCCCCAGGAGCGCCCGAGGGCTGTTAGATAGCGTCGCACCGATAACTCGTGTTTCCAACCACCCTTCAGGAGGTAGATCATCCCAACAGAGTTGTCCTGGGAATCCGCATAGCGCAAACCATTGCTGTTTTAAAAAAAAATAATCATAAATGTTAAGGTATTCAGCTTCCCTAAACGGGGTAACTGAAGGTTCGCTTTCAAAGAGGTGAAGTTGGCATTCCAAGAGAAGAAACGTGTGCTTAGAAGAAACGAGAGGGAAACGTCTTAACGAGAGAAAATAAATATTTGTTTCTACATTCGCCCGAGCCCCGGGAGCGTCGTATCACAGAAACTAAGTCTTTATATGCATTATGGGGTTTGTAGTTTAGGGCAATGCTCCTAAAACTTCACCGAAAGTCCGCTGCAATGTAAACTCACCCTGATTTGCAACTCAGCCTTTACACATCGTGGAGATTGCCACCTGGGTCAATGAATAAATGTCCCCTGCGTAAAAGGGAAAGGATTTAAAACTTAGTATATGCTATCTATTTTAATCCTGTACCAATGTCTAAGGTGTTTTCCCCCGTTTTTCCACATAAGGAAACTGGTTTCATGTTAAGAAAAAGTATTCCAAGTTACTCTCTGGACCTTGGCTGCTCAACCTGACTACCAGGTTTAAGCTTCAGTTTGTTTTAGGTGGGTTTGTATAGACGGCAGGCAGAGGTTGCAATGGGGCTTGGGGGTGGAGGGGGAGGATTCTCGTTGCTCTGTCTCACTCAAAGGAGTTATGTACCCAAGGATAACCTCGAAGCCTGATCCTCCTGCGTCAGCTTCCCAAACGCTGGGGTCACCACATCCAGCTCTGCTAATCCAAACTCTTTCCAGCATGCCAGGCTTGCGTCCGTAAAAGTGATGTATATATTGAAAGAGAACTGGATTGCTTTTGGTTTTTGAGCTAGGATCTCAGCTACGTGACCCAGGCTAGCCTGGAATTCTCCTTATCCCTTCGAAGCCACAACACCTGTTATTATGTTCCTGGTTCTGAGGATTGATGTCAAACTGGACAGAATAGGAAGAGGTGGCAATTATGGGGACATAAGAAAAAAAGAGCTCCTCTCACTGGCTCAGAGTCGAGAATTCAGTGCAATGAACAGCTCTTGCCTTGAAGATTACTTTATATAGAAAACTATTCCAAGAAAGTTAAAATATCCTGGAGTCAGCAGGGCAGGGGTGGCCCACACCTTTAATTCCCAGCACTCAGGAGGCAGAGGTAGGCCTGGTCTACAGAGTGAGTTCCAGGATAGGCAGGGCTACACAGAGAGACCCTGTCTCTAAAAACCCAAAGAGAAAAAGATCCTGGAGTAATGGGTCACACCTTTGCTCCCAGAACTTCGTGAGCAGATTGCTATGAGTTCCAAACTAGCCTGACAACATAGTGAAAATCCAGGCCTGCCGGGACTCCAGGTGAGACCCTGCCTCAGATTTCAAAGCAGAACGTTTAAATAGCAGTGAACTATGAACACATAAGGACTCAGTACGCGCAAACCTCAAGTATGGTCTTGTTCCTTTCCCAGATACTTTCTGGAAATTTGCAACCAAGCATACTTGTTTTTAGTGACAGCACTCTAACGTCCCTTACAATCCTAGTGACAGCTTTAACTTTTCAGCTCTCACTGCCCAGTGCACCTCAAGAACTGCTCTGTGATCTCATTTAAATTCCTTAGCAAGTCTTCAAGCTTAACCTCAGAACACACCAAAATCTTACATAGAGATCCTGTAAAGGCAAGGAGATGTGGCTCCCTTTGAAAAGGCCACACCTTTGCTCCTGTGTGTGTGTGTGTGTGTGTGTGTGTGTGTGTGTGTGTGTGTTTCCACTGAGCCCATGTGAGTAAATCTATGCTTAAAAACAAACAAACAAAACACCTAAGTATGCTCTACCTCTGCTTCATATTCTCTTGTCCTGAAATTCTTTGCTGAGTGAAGCCCAGGTTCCAGCATTCCCTGAAAGGACGTCCCTGCACACAGCTCCTGGGGCTGCTGTGTATTGCAGTCGGCGCTGGGTCTTGGTCAGCTTGCCCCAGCAGCACTGGCAGAACCAAAGAGCTAACTTTTAAAGTGCCGGATTTGGCCAGGCTTGGTGGCGCACACCTTTAATCCCAGCACTCGGAGGCAGGGGCCAGCCTGGTCTACAGCGTGAGTTCCAGAACAACTAACTAGGGCTGTTACGCAAAGAAACCCCGTCTTGGAAACAGCCCCCTCCCCGCCAAAAAAAATGCCAGGTCTGATGTTGCACACCAGAAATCCCAGCAGTGTGTGGAGGAAGCAGAATGATCAGGAGTTCAAGGCCATCAGGACCGTTTCAAAATGTCAAAAAAAAAAAAAACCCGATGGGAGAGTGGTAAATGTTTAAGGGACAACAAAGTACCTCTCTAGATCTCAGACTAGTAGAGGATCTTTCCGTCATACCTGCCAAGAGCACGTGCTACTTGTCTAATCACAGAAAGAAAAAAAAAACCCTGTTACCAGTTATCCCATTGTTTTCTTTTACTGGTTTAATGAAGTCTACCCAAGGCACACCACATAATGGACTAGTCTATAAACAAACATAACATTGTACCGTCTGAGGGAAGAGAACTTGCCCTTCTGTAACCAAGCTCTACAAGAAATGTTTTTCTTTTGTTACAGGAATTTTTAATTAGTTCTTTCAGTAACTTTATAGATATTAGCCACATACATCAACTAATATAGCCCAAGGTTGTATGAGCCCAAGTATACAATGCTGAATAAGCTAGGATTTTTTTTTTCTCAACTTACAGGTAAGAGTGAAAATTGAGAAACTGAAATGTTCACCTGCTGAGAACTGTTTTTTGGTGTGTTTTTTTTTTCTTTTTTCTTTTTTGGTTTTTCGAGACAGGGTTTCTCTGTGTAGCTTTGTGCCTTTCCTGGAACTCACTCTGTAGCCCAGGCTGGCCTTGAACTCAGAGTTCCGCCTGCCTCTGCCTCCCAAGTGTTGGGATTAAAGGCATGTGCCACCACCGCCTGGCGAGAACAGGTTTAAAAAAATAAAAACAAGCCGGGCGGTGGTGGCGCACGCCTTTAATCCCAGCACTCGGGAGGCAGAGCCAGGTGGATCTCTGTGAGTTCGAGGCCAGCCTGGTCTCCAAAGCGAGTTCCAGGAAAGGCGCAAAGCTACACAGAGAAACCCTGTCTCGAAAAACCAAAAAAAAAATAAAATAAAATAAAAAAAATAAATAAATAAAAACAGTGCATCAGTACCTGCTTATCACGTTGCAAGACCTGGGTGCTGATTCTCTCTAGGACCACAAAAATGGGTTTGTTTTTTCCTCCAATTACAGATTTAAAAGGCAGAAATTTGAAAGTCAAGCACAGTCATAGTTTACTCAAAGAGGACAGTTTTATTAGGATTTAAAAGAAAGACCTCCAGGCAGGTAAGCTGTAAATCTCCGCAGTTGCCCAGAGGAGAATGGAACTGATAAGGAAAAAGAGCATGCTTTTTAAATTAAGCCAGTATGGAGGTCAAACACATGGGGGAAAAGAAACTCTAGAGAAAGAACAAGAAGGCTGAAAGAAGCAGAAAAATCATGGCTTGTAGGAAGAGTTCTAGGGGGTAGGGATTCCAGGAAGTGAAAGGGCACTGTCTATTAAAGGGATAATTATTCCACCTATGGCTTTGGCATGGTTAAATTGAGCCCATCCTAGATGTTGCCTCTCTTTCCCAAGGGGCGTGGGACCGTGGCCCAGTCATTGACCAGCCCAGCTGGATTAATTTATATTTTGAGTAGTCTAAAATGTAAGCTCTCCACCCAGGCCAGAGATTCTTTACCAGACCTTTTTTTTTTTTTTTTTTTTTTTTTTTTTTTTTTTTTTTTTTTTGCACCACTACCGCCCTGGAACTCATTTTGTAGACCAGGGTGGCCTCAAACTCACAGAGATCTGCTTCTCCTGGTGGCAGTCTGGGCGCCAAATGTAGCTGGAAGTTTTCCTGTGTCTGGACCCAGTCCTATAGCTGCTCACACTCAAGTAAACACAGAGGCTTTTATCAATTAAGAATTGCATGGCCAGCCGGGCGGTGGTGACACACGACTTTAATCCCAGGACTCGGGAGACAGAGCCAGGCAGATCTCTGTGAGTTCAAGGCCAGCCTGAGCTACCGAGTGAGTTCCAGGAAAGGCGCAAAGCTACACAGAGAAACCCTGTCTCAAAAA